AATATGAACAATCAGGGCTTTGCTGTTCCTGAGAAGAAGATTTTAAAAATTTTTCCTATATATTTTTATGTAAAACTTTGATCCTCAATTGTGGCCCCGCCCTACCCCCAGGGGTCATGATTTGAACAAATTTGAATTTTTACTACCTGAGGATGCTTCCATATAAATATTACCAATCAGGGCTTTGCTGTTCTTGAGAAGAAGATTTTTTAAAGATTTTTCCTATATATTTCTATGTAAAACTTTGATCCTCCATTGTGGCCCCGCCCTACCCTCGGGGGTCATGATTTGAACAAACTTGAATCTTCACTACTTGAGGATGCTTCCATATAAATATGACTCATCATGGCTTTGCTGTTCTTGAGAAGAAGATTTTTAAAGGTTTTTCCTATATATTTTTATGTAAAACTTTGATCCTCCATTGTGGCCCCGCCCTACCCCCAGGGGTCATGATTTGAACAAATTTGAATCTACACTACCTGAAGATGCTTTCATATAAATATGACCAATCAGGGCTTTGCTGTTCTTGAGAAGAAGATTTTTTTTTATCAAGATTTTTCCTATATATTTCTATGTAAAACTTTGATCCTCCATTGTGGCCCCGCCCTACCCTCAGGGGTCATGATTTGAACAAACTTGAATCTACACTACCTGAGCATGCTTCCATATAAATATGATTCATCATGGCTTTGCTGTTCTTGAGAAGAAGATTTTTAAAGGTTTTTCCTATATATTTCTATGTAAAACTTTGATTCTCCATTGTGGCCCCACCCTACCCCCGGGGGTCATGATTTGAACAAACTTGAATCTACACTACCTGAGGATGCTTCAACATGAGTTTCATCTTCCCTGGCTTTGTGGTTCTTGACAAGAAGATTTTTAAAAGATGCTATTAATTTTTCACTAATTCTTCATTATCTCCCCTTGAAAGAGGGCATGGCCCTTCATTTGAACAAACCTGAATCCCCTTCACCCAAGGATACTTTGTGACAAGTTTGGTTGAAATTGGCCCAGTGGTTCTTGAGAAGAAGATGAAAATGTGAAAAGTTTACGACAACAACGACGCCGACGACGACAACGACGACGACAGACAACGGACAAATTTTGATCAGAAAAGCTCACTTGAGCCTTTGGCTCAGGTGAGCTAAAAATGATTGGTTGTTTATTGTTATTTCTTTTGAAATATCATTTTTATTACCAAGATTCACAGAACAATATGCTTGAGTATACTACTTAGATCAAATTGATCATTAGATAAACTAAAAATTTTAACATTAGTATTGTTGAAAGATATACCAGATAAGGCTAATGTGATATGCTGTGACGTCACAAACACTGGCGGGTATTGTGAAACATACAGTTATGCATGTTTAGGAAAATTCCAAGCTACTCAAGATGTTCTGCCTGAAAATCATTTTGTCCCCATATTCAAGGAATAATGATGATAGTTAACATTTCATCTTATACAGGACAGCAGGACATTACTCAATAACCTCTAGAAACACTGAAGTGGGATTATGTGCCTGTTTGGAGTAAGAATCCCGTTTTTTTTTTTTTTTGTTGCAAGGAAACATCCGCCGTAAGCCCTACATATTGGTCAGGTAGACATAAAAATCCGTAGTCGAATTTAGCATAAAAGCAATGGCCTAACAAACGGTATAAAACATTTACGTACGAACCCATATGTTTTACTTGCAAACAAGACCATTATAACGACCATAGAGTATTCAAAATGCTAACTACAGCGAAAAGATTTCAGATATAGAATGCATCTATACAAACTGCATTTCAATAAGTTCCATATTCCGACCTGTAGATATAACCTTCTCAGTTTTGAAAGGGAACGTTCACTATGCATATAGTATTACTATGCATATAGTATAGTATATAGTATTTAACAACATATGGAGAATATAATATAATTATAGCTGTTACTGAAAGTTATTGAAATTAAAAGATTCTCTGTGACATGACCTTGAGATAACAACATTGCACACATTTGGTCTCTAAAAAAATATATTCAAGTTTAAATTGCTTCAAATCAAATGCTCATGTAATGGTTAAGGGGTATTTGTATAAAACGCAATGAAGACCTTAGTTAGTGGAAAGTCCTGACAACTTGGTATTGACTAGCCAAAAGGTATAAAAAGCGAAGCTTCCGGGAAGTCAGGTATTCAGAAGTTAGCTGAAAAAAATTGACGGCTGAATCAGAAGCCAGATGTAATTGAATAAGAAGTTAAGGGTAAGAGCAGAATAAAAGTATGAGTAGCAAGTATCCTAGGGGATTGATGTTAAGTTCTGGGTGTATTAAATCTGAAGAAGATTGATAAACCCGGTCATTCTCTAACAATAGAAATCAAGGGGAGAAACAGGGTGCAAGCAGTATCTTACCACGTCCCCGCCTCTGGATATTAGAAAAAAGTGTTGTACTGTATGATTTACCTCAGACAGAGCGGTTTTATTAATCATTTCAATCAATAACTCAGAGAGAGTGAAAGGAAAATCAATATATACCTTGTAAGAAATCGTTCATACACAGTACACTCACTATATATATATATATATATATATATATATATATATATATATATATATATATATATATATATATATATATATATATTCACGAAAGCTCGACTTTTAATTTTTGTATGAATACCTGATTAAATAGTATAAGTGTTGAGCACTAGTACATGTAAAATGAATAATACAAGCGGACCCCGAGTCTACATCATTCCTGAAAATCAAGCAGTCAAAGGCAGCAGAATAAGGCTTGGATATTTTCTCTAAATTTGCTCAGGAACTGCTCTTTGAATGTTTTACAAATCAAACCAAATATCAAAGCTGACAACAAGTTTGCTCTCTGGAACTGCTTTGTTCATACGAGTATGACACGTGATACCATCAGGGTTTGTTTAGAACTCCCATACCTTGGATACCAAACTTTCACCAGTGTGTTAGTTCCATCTATTGTCAGAGAGACAAACAAAAGATTCGAATATATCATTCATATTAAAATGAAAATTTTCCAGTAAACACATGTATAATCAGGAACGTATTCAAATATACATTTTAAAAACAGAATTGATTTATTGAATTCTGATAAATATAAACACCAAAAATCGTTCCTATTTAATAATTCACTGACACAATTTTAAAAAAAAATTCTAAAGCTAACCGAGTAGAAAAATCAACGAAAAAATAATGTAGTTTATGTAATACAAAGGATAAATGTTACTATTTATAACAAGGAATCAAAGTGTCAAAATTAAAACCATTACTTTACTTACCTGCCATTTCTTTGGATCGGAGTCAATCAAAATTCTTACCATTCTTACCAATGCTGTCAATGTGCTGAAGTCTGGTTTATATTGTGTCTGTCGGGATATCCTCGCTATTGTGAAGGTATTGATGTAGAAAAAACAAAAGATCATTGCATATTCTATTAATTAGAACCATTGGGGACACTTTTATCAGTGAAATGAATAACGTATAAGTTATATAACTTTTCACTTCAACTACAGCAAGGAAGAGGTTGTGAAGTTGACATATGACTTACAGGTTGATTGATTGATACCTTTTCATTGATGTGTAATAGGAAATGTTGAAATTTGCACATACGTGTTGTTCATCATCCCTATATTCATAACTGTATCACTGTGTACATTCTATCTATCTATCTATCTATCTATCTATCTATCTATCTATCTATAAATATAAAGCACTAAAAATGACCAAAGACACGAACAATGAAAATAGTCAAATTTTCGGGACGACCTGTCCTTTCCTCAGGACAAAGAAAAAAGTGAACTTTTTTCTTTGTCCTGAGGAAGGGACAGGTCGTCCCGAAAATTTGACAATTTTTGCTGTTCGTGTCGTTGGTCATTTTTGTGCTTTATGTAAATTTCCATCCGTGACCTTGTATCTACTTAGTAGATCTGACACTTAGGATATACAGTGTTGTTGGTTTTTAGTGCTTTATATATATATATATATATATATATATATATATATATATATATATATATATATAAAGATTTACATCACGATGAGAAATTTATTTAGAAAAATGCTACCTAAAGTCAATTTACAACTATATTTTCTGAAAGATTCATATTGTTAAAAATGCATTCCTGTTAAAGTGAATAATAGGTAGTTAGGTGGACGTAAACAGAATCACAGCCATTGTAATTCTAAAGTAAAAAAGAAGAAAAATACACAAAAATTTACAGCTTTACAAAGAGATTTTCTTCTTTCATTCATGTTTGAATCTCTCTCTCTCTCTTTTCCCCATATATTCCGAATATATTCTTTTTTTTAAATGAAGAAAGAGAATCTTGCTTTGAAGTATATTTATTACTTAGTAAATGTATTATTGTTTTTTTTTGTTTTTTTTTTGTTTCTTTTTTTTTTTGGTGGGGGTGTTAATGCAGCATGTTTAAATGATAATGAACGTAGAAGAAATACATTACAAACAAGGTAGTCCCTGTTGCAAGGTGCGAACGAATGGTTAAATTTACCGTAATTCACAGACTGATAGAGTAGTCTGTGAACGGCCACAATCGATCACAAAGTTCATTTTTAATGTACATTCTTATTTTTTTTTCCCATTATCTTACCTGATAATGATCCTATTTCAATGTTCCGGTTATAAACATTGAATTGATTGGTTATTAGAAATGAACTAGATATTTTCAGCAGTTTTATCCGCTACTCTCCATGTAGTTGAGTTTTAGAAGAGTGGCCCTTTTCACATTTATCCACCTCAAACACCATTTATATATATGCCTATTACATCCTTTATATAAACATTCGATCCTTGTTGTTATAAATTAAAAATCTCTAAGACAACTGTTACTTTAGATTTATTGCTTGTTAAGAATGTACATCATGTGATGAAAAAGTTAATAATTTTCGGTATATCATATCTGGCAAAAATTAAGATTAAATAACCTGAAAATAATGCAAGATTACATGTAATATGTTTCCACAGACCACAAAGAAGTTCAGGAGAACATAAAATAACCGGATATCATGGTCTGGTCTCCGACAGCTCTTGAATCCTGTATAACAGTGACGATGTCGTTCATGTGCAGGCGTAAAATGGCGAGATTGGAACCGCTATCATAGCCTGCATTTCGTCCATCAGAGATCGTTTGTCCGACAGTTCTGTTATTAACTTGCAGCCAGGACTTAAGGTGTCTATTACCAGCTTCCATATTCCAGAAGAATAAATAAACGCCATCTTTGTTAGCTTGAAATCTATCGTAGTAGAACAAGTTGGATGTGTCTAGATACTCTGTGCTGAAGAAGAGGGGAGAAGAGGATGTGGAGAAAGGGGCCATCGCCATAAAAGCTGAGCAGGAACTCGCTAATTAGAATTAATAATGAATTGATTATTTCTCATATGGGAAAGACTATCCCCCCTCCCCTCCTCTCTCTCTCTCACTCAAAAGATATATGACTCTCAAAATATGATACTTGTCTTCTCATGCTATAGAGGCATAAATGTCAAAATGTCCTATTTACTCGGGAATATTAAGGACTATTCAATTAAGTAAATTGAAATAAGCCAAGAAGACTGTCCCTCCACCATTTTTGAGAAATTTAACTTTTTTTTTTAATTTTGAATTCCGCAACCAAAAATCGATGTTTCGTGCTAAAACCTGAAAAAAATATTTAGTTGTTTATATTGCATGACCAAAAGTCGTATTCAAAGTAATTTATTTTAACCTTCTATCAATGTTGAGGTTACCATTAAAGTAAACAACTCTAGCAAATAAACACTTAATCGATGAGGTCATTCAATTAAGACTCAGTAAGAGAAATGTACATGCAGAAAGAATAGAGTTAACCATAAAACATCAAATAAATCTGAGTTAGTTGATAAAGCTCAAATTGACATTAGATCATCTGACAGCTACTTTACTTGCAGTCAAAATTTGAGTATATTTTTTTATGTTTGACAAAGGTTTGGTGATTTAGAGAAATATACAAAAATGAAATATGAAGATAACGATTAGTATTCAATCTCGAAATGCAAATGAAACATACAAATTTGGAGCAGAGCAAACACGGACCTCAAAATTTAGAGGTGGGATCAGGTGCTAAGGAGGAGTGAGCATCCCCTGCCAACTGGTCACACCCGCCGTGTGCTCCTTGTTATGATCGAAAAAAAAAAAACCCGGAAAAATCCGTAGACAGTTCAGTATATAAATAATGGCATAACAATTAGTATGAGAAAGGTCAGTCAGCACTTGACTCAATGAAAGGCTGTACGGCTGACAAGGTCATCGTATCGACCATAAAACTTGCAAAATGATGTCTTCAAACGAGACTGTTGTTATTCTTGTTTCCTCAACTTTTTTGTCAATAGCCTGTCTCGTTCTAGAAAGTGTTCATACGTAGAGCATACTCTTGAGTATCAATTGAGAAACATAAACCAGATATGAGGAGATATATAACGGGTATATTGCCACATAAGTACTGGAAGTTCACGACTGAAAAGTTAAAGTCATCATGTTTATCATAAAGTTTTGCTGTTATGTTACCATTAACGTCTTTTTCTAGTAAAATATCTAAATATGAAACAGATGTGTCAGACTCTGTGGTATCTATTATTTCAAGCTCACTGGGATATATCGAGTCGAAATAGAAATATGAATGGAACTACATGTATTGGTAATTGATGATACATCGTCGATATAATTGAATGTCAAATTGAAGTGCTTTCTTCTCCTCATGTAGAAGTTTTTGAATAAATTCTGCTTCATATGAATACAAAAAATAGGTCTGCTAACAACAGGGCGCAATTGGTACGCATGGGAATTCCAAAAGATTGTTGGAAGACGCGATCTCCAAAAACCACATAGATATTGTCAATCAGAAACTCAAGCATCTTTTTAATATCAACTGAGTACTTGTGTGTACAATCAGAATGCTTTTTAACAAAATAATTTTACAAATGACCAATGACAAGGTGAGTATATTTACGAGTTCCGTTTTTATTGAAAAAGCAGCTGTGTGTGATATCAAAAAGCCTGGACTTCAATTTATCGTGGGGAATGGTCGTATAGAGTGTTGAAAAGTCGTTTTGATGTTATTGATTTTAGTAAAATGTTGTTATTTCAAATTCTCTAAAAGTTCCCTGGAGTTTTTAAGTATCCATATCTGATTCACACCACTTCTCAAATAAACTGTTGAACAGTACTCCTGACGTTCCTCCTTCATTTCAGTAGATATTTAAGTGAAGAAAGAGGCTTGGTAGAACATTTACTGGAACCCACTATGTATCTTTGTTTGTAAGGATTTTTATGAAGTTTAGGAATCCAGTAAAGGTATGGTATTTCAAATTCATTTTGATTGTTGGGAATATTGAAAATATCTAAAATGGACATATGATTTTGAAGAATTTTCTACTTAGAAAGGGAGCTATGGGTGTAAATTGGATTTCCACCTGCAAAATAAATCTTAGCTCCTCTAAAATGCAATTCAAATAATGAGCCTTACAATCAAAGACTATATTGTTACCAGATTTGTCAGCTGGGACCTGTACATACTGATTGTGTAATCTATCCAATTCCTTTTTCACTTCTGAGTTATTAAAGACAGAGCGATAAATTGTTTTCATACATCCCCTCAATCGCTTAATTTCAACATCCATCTGATGCTCTTTATGCAAATATGAAGTCATGAAAAAAAGAAGCATTTAAATGGAAAGAGGATCACTTAAATTACACTTGATTAGATGAGCTAAATACTTACTTGACCCAATGAGCCATCCAGAAAATGATGAATGTATAGGTTCTATAGTGCTATCAGAATCAGTTGGATAAAGATACACTCTGTCCCCGCGGGTCAGGGGGAAAAGTTGTAAGGTGGAAGAGGTGTCCTCGTAGGGCCCTGAAGAGGAATCCGGCCACACCCCAAGTTCATTTAACTTCTTGCCATTTCGGTAAAAGTAAACCATGAAATCCCGATGATGTGCCTCCAAGGAAAAAGCAAAAGCATACAAGCCTGACTCTGGACAGACAAACGTGCCGTGTCCGGAATTGTAGACGTGTCCGTCGTTGGAAATTACATCTTGGAAGTTAAAGCCGTAAGAAGAAGAGGAGGGTCTAGTCAATGAAGTCAAGGCTCTTGCATAGAAGTACGAATCATCTAAAATATAAACCATTGTCTTCATTACTGCAGGGCAAAGCTTTAAAGTTTTAAATGCTTTTCAAAGATGCTTCCATATTTCATTTACGAATTATCTTGGCTGCCTCTTTGCTATATATGATTTTGTAGCGCTGTCGAGCGGTAAATGGTTTTATTTATTCCCTCTTTCAGTAAATGGTTAAACAAAAGTAATTCCTCTGTCTTAAACTCTCCTCAAGGTTGGAAATAAAACAATCTAGTAAGCTTATATACAATTTATTTAGAGAGCCAGGCGCCCGTAAAACACATCACACTTAGAAATAATAATCCTCTATCTTTTGAACGTTCTGACATATACACATAAATTCAAAACGGCACAGTAACTGACAGACAACATCACTTTCAAAAGAAAAGAACTGCGCAATGAAATAACCGATCCTTGCGAGGAGCATCGAGTAGCTATCTAAACAGAATTATTTGAACAATTATTAACCGTTAGCATAATTTAATACTCAGTAAACAAAACAGTTTTTTCAGTAAACCTAAATTATTACAATTTCATTCTTTTATGACGATATATGTCACATTGAATTCGCACTATAGCTATAATATACAGAAGAAAAGAATATCCCCTTCATTTATTTTATGAACAGGAAAGCTTACTGTAATGAAGTCGCCAACCAGAGAACGTGGACAACATTGCGTCAGCGGTTCCATTGACCTTGACTCTGACCTTGTCACCAAACTTCAGGTCATACACAACAAATCCCGTGCTTGAGTCGCCAGTAATGTTTCCTCGGGAGTCTGTGAAGGAGGAACCGAGTGAGACATCGTTGATAAGTAGATCTGCTCCTGTGTAGCGATGACTACTGGTCGCTATGGTCCACGAAAAGACATACGGTCCACTGTATTTACAAGTAAAGACTCCCGTGCTCCCGCTGTACGCCAAGCCTTCATTGGTTGTAACGTTGTCAAATATGACGTAATTGTTTGTCGTTGATGACGTCAGCTGTGCGTAGAAGGCGTAATTGTCAGGTATTTCTGTGACATGAGCCGGTGCTGTCCAAAGCAAAGCAGAATTAGACATGTACGCATCTATTTTCAATGTAAAAAGATTCTTTTGTTTAAAATTGTCATTATAACCGTCAACTGTTGATACTATTGATGTATTTAAAAAATATTGTCTCGTAGGAAAAGGATAATCAACGTCTATATTTTAAATAATGATATATCTTTAAGAAATGAACCGCTAGTAGTTCTTGTGTTGATGCTGGTACCTGAAGTAAATATAGCGTTACAGTTGATATTACAGAGATCTTCTTGACAACAACCTGAGCATGGTGCATTTGACCTCTGATCCTTCAGAGATCGCTTTTTTCCAACAATAGCTGCTGTCGATATGTGATTTTCACACGCCTAGTAATTTCATTATTTAATTACTAGAAGTTAAAAAATAAACCACTTTGTGGTTCAAACCGATTCGATGAAGAACAATTTCATCTTAATTAGATTCTTACTTACGTGTGTATCTTTACATTGACTTTTGAAGAAACGTTGTCTGAGCTCAAGACTCTCCCCAAGGAAACACATCTATTATTGAGACATTAAACGGTTATGTTTTTGAAGACTAGGTAGGTATAATTCTCCCTATGTGTGCATATAAACTCCATAACGTGCACAATCATGTAACTTTTTTTAAAAAAATATATTTGGCTAAAAGCAACAAGGTGTAAGGGTATAAATTTCTTTTATTCAAATTCCTCATAATTATAGGCGAGGTCTGCGGAACTAAAAATAACGGAACAACCTCTCCTTAATTACAAGCTATCTATACTTTTGTCCATCTGGCGTGAAAGCCTAGAATGCTTGTTAAACACTATATTTTTTAGAGTTTTATTTTTGCGAAAAAAGCTTTCCATGATGTTTAGTGCCTAAATGTGTTTATTAAGAGAAATTTGTCTTATATATATATGTGTGTAAAAAAAAAAAATAATGCATAAAAAGAATAAATTAAGAATTTTGCTTGAATATTTATTCTTACTTTTTTGAATTCGTAGAAGTACATTTATTTTCTGATAACACATTTACTATCCTTTACCTCATTGGTTCCACATAGAGTCACGTGATGACAGTCTGAGGGGTTTAACGTGTGAGCACAGTTAAAACAGATCGGCCCTCTAGATGTAGGATAGGCTGAAATGATAAAGATCGATTTAACAAAAAATAATCAACATTAATTAAGAAATAGGGTATCATTTTTAAACTTCTATCGGGATTAAAATACTGGTTGGGCATCTGATCAAATCTCATAAGGCCAGAGGGGCCTTATGTGGTAGATTGATGAGAGGACCAACCTGTATTTGTATCCCGATAATTAATTACCTACCACTCTATAACACTAAAATGCATGTGACATTCAGCAATACTCCATTGTGGCGTCATCATATTCATGAGTTACGGTATGTCATGTTGATTCTGATAGTTCAGTTTATTTAAACCAGCTGAAGTATTCAGATGTGTTTTGTGTGTGTGTATGTAAGTGTGTGTATCTAGACTCAGGAGTATATACAGTCACAGGATTTGATGCCGCTCAAGGGATAAACAAAAAGAATTCGAAGAGGCCACAGACTTAGAAAAGAACGAATGAGAAAATACATGATGATTTTCTCTCTAGCTTGCAGAAACTTAAGGCAGCATTAAAGACCCTTAACTCTTACAGGAACTTAACGGCAAGATACTGGATGTACAGACTACAGAAGATGTGGAACAAGAAATAATTGATGTAGATGAATTCAATTTATAGCTGGAGACTGCAATTTTCAGATTCAAAGACATATTGTCAGGAGCCTGTTGAACCAATTGTGAGTAATCTTACCAATATTCTGGCAACTCATACTACAAGTTTTCCATCAAAGAGTCGTGGAGATAACAATACAGATAATGTGTATGCAGCTAGTGAGGAAGAGATGAGTAACGCACACACAAACACTGCAAGTAGCAACAATTTAACAGGAAATCTCTATCTCAAACCACGCAAGTAAGAGCTACTTTAATTCACAGGAGACATATTAACGTTGAAAACATTTTGGAATTCATTTGAATCAACTATGCCTGAAAAACAAATGTTCACAAACATACAGAGGTTCAGTTACTTAAAAAACCAGCTTCAGGGAGTAGCAGCTCATATTATTGCAGTACTGCAGTTAACAAGTAATGATTATTGTCAAACAGTTGTTATCCTTATAGAAAGACCCGGACAAGAGCACAAAATTATTAATGAGCACATACAAAGCCTGATTGACTTACCCAACCCAAAGTCCAATCCTGAGAGCCTGAGAAATTTCTTTTATAAATTGGAATGCTACATCAGAGCATTAAAATCACTTGGAACCAATGAAATCATCCACAGAATAATTTAAACCTCAATGATTTATAACAAACTAGCAGCAGATAGTTGAAGGAGCATTACCTAAGACAAAAAATATGAGAACTGGGATCTACAATCAATAATGAGAGCCATTAAAAAGGAGCTGTGTGCACAATGGAGCAAATTTAAACGCAGCATTGTAGAGGATTCCATACTAAATGCGAACTTTGTCGTAGCAAGCCAAAGAAGTACTAACAAGATGAAATATATATATATATATATATATATATATATATATATATATATATATATATATATATATATATATATATATATATATATATATATATATATATATATATATATATATATATATATATATAACATTCGCTTCGTCTGCAGTGGAAACTACCCTACCATAAATTGCCAATGAGTCAAAGATTATGAAGCAAGAATGTACATCCTGAAATAGAAGAGAGTGTGTTTCAATTGTTTCGGAGAACGCAAAGTAAACGCTCTCTGTAACATTGTAAATACAGAAACTGTAAGAGGACTTATCATACAAGCATCTGCACGACACCTGAAGAAGTCATCAGATAGATCGTCACTAATTCTGATGGCTCACAAAAGAGCGATTGCATCAATAGGAGCAATCTTCACAGTTACACTCTTTATCACACGTAACAACCATTACCAAAGTTGTACAAACAGCTGTAAGATCAATTTGCATCAAAGAAGAGCAGCGTCAGATGAACAAACGAGAATAACATGACCATATTTTGTCTCTGGTTTTAGCTCAAGAACAGCTCAGACAGGAAATATTTCAATCAGGAGATGAAGTCAGGGAAAAATAAATGAGAAACACAGAGAAGAAATAGACGGCTGCAGAACAAAATACGCTTGATTTGATGACGTGACTAACTTCATGTCATATTCAAATGAAACTATAAAAATGATATCTTATTTCATAAAAGATAACTAACTACGGATGTCAAAGTAACTATTAAAGATCAGAAGCTACGTATACAAAAAAAATACAGTTGCTATATTTACTTAGATAATGTTACATAGATAACATATAATCAAAAGACACATACGTCAGTAAAATGTCCCCAATTGACCAGAGAACCCATTACTAAAGTAAACCACACCTACCTGGTGCCCCACAGCCTTCTGCATTACATAAATCACCATGGCAACACTCATGACACAAAACTGATCCATGAATCTTACGTTTCTTTGTCTGTACAATCGTTCTGTTGGTGATTTTTGTACAGTTCTGTATGTAAAGAAATATATCTCGATATAAAGACATCATATTTTCAAAACGAAAACCAAAAGTCTAAATGATGACCACAGGATTAGAATACATTTTATGAGGAAAAAATTCTACTATATGTTAAGGAGCATATACACCGTAAGCTATATTTCATAAATGATTTTCCTAATATGTCAAAAATATTTCATACCTGGAGGAAAAGATTTTTTTTCAAAAATGCTTCCAATACGTATATGAAATAGTAAAACATTTAAATTTGCCTTATTATTTTAATTGATTTTTTTTTTGGTCTGCTGCATATTTTGCCATTTTTCCATGGAACACATATCCGGAAGTCATAATTTTCAATATTAATTTTGAAGAAGAAATGGAGGGTTAATTAAAGCCTAAAACAATATCAAGTTCATGGGAAAAGGAAACTTTGTTGAAAAGTGATACTTTATGAAATAGTGGCATTATGAGCTCACTTAAGCCATAGGCAAATGTGAGTTTTTTCCCGTAGTCTACTTTCTGTAATCGTTACATATTTCGACCTAATTGCCAGAACCACAGGACCAATATGATTGAATTTTCAACTTATTTGTCAAAAGCTTTTCTTGTTTTAGAAATTGTTTGTATGTAGAACATGCTCTTGTGCATCGAATTAACTGGGAGAAATAACCGCCATATAAAGGTGATAATGGTATAATGCTAAATAAATAAAGGAAGCTGACAATAGAAAAGTTGAAGTCATTACGTTTATCGTAAAGTTTTGTTGTTAGTTTGCCATTATGTCTTTTTCTATTATAATATTCAAATACGAAATAAATGTGTTAGACTCCGTAGGGTATCTTTTATTTCTAGTTCAAAAAGGTCGTCGATATATCTAAATATGGAATTGAAGGCCACGGCAGGAAACTTCTTTTAATGTAGAAGTTTTTGAATAAATTCAGCTTCATTGAGCTCAAAAATAAGTCTGCTAATAACCGGGGGCTTAGTACCCATGGGATTCCCAACAGATTATCGGAAGACGTGATCACAAAAATAACACTCTTTCTTTTTAATATCAATTTCAGAGTACCGAAATGATTTAATAAAATAATTCTGCATATGATCAATGATAAGTTATGTAATTTTATGAGTTCCATTTTTATCGAAAAAGCAGCTGTTAATGATGTCAAAGGGCCTGGACTTTAATGGTTGTATAATGATTGTATAAAATGTTGAAAATTCGTACGCTATTGATGTTTTGTGATTTCAATTATTTAAAAGTTTCTGGGAGTTTGAAAATATTTGCATCTCATTAACACCTGTAACTGTACATGCTGTTGTACAGTGCTCCTGAAGTTTCTCCTCGATTGTTGTTATAATTTGGTGAGGGGTAAGGAAAGAGGCTTGGTATATATGTGTATAGAAAACAAAGTAGAAAATATTCTTCCAAAGAACAGTGCCAATTAAAGAATGTGTCTCAGGTGAGTGTTGTGACCCATGGGTCTCCAGATCTTGTAATACTTCTAATCTTCAAAATACACACGAGAGAGAGAGAGAGAGAGAGAGAGAGAGAGAGAGAGAGAGAGAACTACCGACTGCTGTAGACAGCCAATCCAGAAAGATGTATCACCGTTTTCTCTCTGGTACCTTCGTACTCCACACACCTGTCAATCAACGTAGGGCATCTTTATTTATGATACTAAGTTAATATCATACTGCAGAACATTTTAAATTTTCAATGTTAATTCAACGCTTAAAGTAAATAAACTAATGAGTCACCAAGAATACATTCTAAGAATATGTTTCTTAATCCCTTTACTGAAACGCAATTTGAAAAAAAAAATCCACAAAAATTTATACCAAAGTTTTACAAAGTCTTCATTTAGTTTGGAATTGTTATTATTATTTTTTTTTGCTTTTTTAATATGACTTTCTTCGAATGTTTATTGTAATAAATTATTTTGAATAATATTTTTTTAGCAAATTAAGATCTTGAAATAAGTTTATCCTACTTCACCGTCTTGGCAGTACTCTATCCTCTCACAGAAACGAGGCTCTAGGACGTTATCACAACGTAAACACGTCAACCTAAGACCTTTAAAAAATAAAATGTATTTCATCACTAAAAACCTTTCACTTACGACAAAACCAAAAATTTCATAGAATCATTACACAACAGCATAATCATGACCCTTCATTAGCTAATAAAATGGTAAGAAATATCGCATATGATATGTAATTACGTTCAAATCTACATACGTGCAAACAGTATGACGATAATGCGGGGTTAATGATAAAATCGGATCGACAGTAAATGTATACAGGCCACCTGATAATGAGAAGTCCTCTTTATACATATTACCTTCAGCAGTATACGAGGTCAGGAAATAAAGTCCTAAAGAAGAAAAAGAATGGTTTTTTTATAAGAAATAAAATATTGCAAACGTACGTTTTTCCAGGGGATCTTAATTTCTGTTTAGTCTGCGAGTAGAAAATTACGCAGATTTCTCCTACAGCATCAGAAGATCACAGCAGAAAGAGAGAGATTAAAGAAAAGAAAGAACGAGAACGACAGAGATGCATATACCACATAGGAAGTTAGTGAACAGGAACATTATAATCCAATTGTTCTCAGAATATCTACAATTAGTCCTTCAGTCATCTAAGTGCAATTTCAAAATCCTTATCTCTTAGAACTATTGTACGAGGTAATTATAATATCATATGGTCATAGAAAACAGTGTCTACAGATACATATTATACAATACACAAAAACATATTACACATTATGGTTAATTTTGATGATTGAAAAATCGTTACATTGTGATACAACACTGATTTATATAAGAATTAATTATTTTCAATTTGACTATAGATACTGTGGTTAGAAAAAGAACATTTCGTTAATTCGTATTTTGTCTGGCATGTTTCATACCAAGTATTAGGTAATTCGTTTTATAATGATTTTGAATACGTATTAGTCCGTTTACCATCACGGCGGATGTGACCGGCAAACAGGGACAGGATCCTAGCTAAAGGCACCTGATTCAATCTCTGGTGTTTTTGCCCTTCCCAAAATTGGTTTTCTTTATTTGATTAATGAGATTGATTGCTGTTCGTTATTTTCACTTTTAACATTCAGGAGGCGGGGGGGGGGGGGGGGGGGTCAACAAATTAATTATCAGATATAACTTAATTTTTTAGACATGATATCGTAGGCTGTCAATTATCATTTGGCAAACAAAAATTTCATACATTTTACTTTTAAAATTTGATCATTTTTGTATATCTTTATATGGAGCTTTTCTTCTAAAGGAGATCAATATAGTCTGAAAATGGCCACAACCACCCAGCCCTCTTAACCTGATCTATACAGGGACAGCTCAGGGCACTTGACAAAATTTCCTTGCCCAACCTCTGATGTGTCGTGCGTCTATATTTACCCTCATTACAATTTTATATGTAATTGTAAGCTTGAACACTGTTCTTTAACTCTAATTGTCTCTTGTGACTTTATAAAAGTAAAATATCATGTTTACGTTTCTCATATCATAATCTTACATTTTGTAGAAATATTTGATACTTTAGAGAAATTTTGTTTTGAAAACAGACAAAAACGTCCCATGATATGCGCTTGCTAGTTACCATTTTTTCTCCGAATCTTATTCTTTATATTTAACGTCAAAAGACCTATGATTATGTACCTATATGCTTATCACACTCTCCATAAACACTTTGTCCGAGTTTCTTTTCTTTAAAAGCTATAGGGTGAGTTCACAATGCATCGGACACACACCTTGCTTCGGACAACTTTAAGCAAGAAAAAAAGCATCAAACCTGAATGTTTCAGTGTTTTGACTTGCTTCCGTCTTAAAGCCGACCATTTAAACTTTTTAATGAAACCGATTTTTCATTATCATATAAAAACCCTTGATAATTGCTTTGAAAAGACGTCATAACTGACCATCATCAAAGGGGAGTACCAGAATTATATGATTATGCAAAGTTTTACAGTTGCCTTTCTTTCATTAGACTTCAAGGGAACAAGTCCTTCTTGGGTGAATATCGTGAATGATTGACAAATGTAGAACAAATTTCAAGAAATTTCATTCCAAAGTTTGTGTTAATTTACTTAATAACTGTGTTTAATTCTATGTTCATTTCACCATGCATCGGACACAAATTAGCCATATGATAAACATTGTTCGATGGACAGATAATTACATCTGTGTAATTTAGAAATACCACCACTGTTCGGATTTTTTTCAGACTTCTATTTTCTCTCTCAAGAAGATCAATTAATGAAAACTCACAAGAATTTTACCTAGAACTTATAATACAAATATGCAAAATCTCTTGGTGATAACATCATTAGATAAATCCCAGTGAAATCATGAACTTGCGTATGTTTATTGTCTATTGACCTGTAGCACTCCGCAGAGATAATCACAACCTCATTTTAATGTTTCTCCATTAAACGTTAGTATTTTTATTATAACATTCACAAACAAGGAGAAAACAAGGCAAGCTCTTGACAAATATGTTGATTTTACAAGGATATCAACAGTCCAATTTAAATTTAATCTTTTGCAAATTCTATGGTTAAAACAATAACCTTGTAAGCAAATACAATCAATCATTTAGTCGAATGATGACTGACATTTTTCATGCAAGTTTTTAGGCTAATATTTTCATACTGAATTGTCTACGGATTTTCCGTTTGCCTGATAATGACAAGGAGCACACAACGGATGTGTCTGGTCGACGGGGACTACTTGCTCTTCCATGGCACTTGATCCCACCCCTGATGATTTTTGAGGTTCGTGTTTGCTCTGCTTCAAGTTTGTATTGTTTCAATGGGCTTTTGAACTTGATTACTGTTCGATATCTTTAAATTTCATTGAACGATCAGGAATCATCAAATGTTCTTAAAATTCTGTGATTAGTTGATTACATTCTAGGACCCAAACTGGTGCAAGTTTTCTCCTTTCTTAAGTCCCCCTTACAAATTTGTGTGCTGTTTCTTTCTTTCAAAAATTCATGAAGTATCAGTCGTACGTGTGTGACGGTACATATTGTCGTTTTCTACAAGCTGTCGTCGGCGACAGTATGTACCTACCTTCACTGCACATGTTGTCGTCCATCGGTACATATTGTCACCGGCTGAAAAGTTACACATGTACATATTGTCGCCCCATAGATATTGTTGCTTAGAGATTATTCTGTTGTTTTTCAGTACATTTGTGAATGTAATTGGTGTGTAAATTCATCCAGTGTGATTTTGACGGTACATTTTGTCGTCTGTTCATGTAATTGCCGGCGACAACATGAACCTACCCTAACTGCACATGATGTCGTCCATCAGTACATGTTGCATGACTTTGAATGGCAATGCTTCCATATAAATATGATTTATCATTGCTACTCTATTTTTTGAGAAAAAAATTAAAGAATTTTCCCATATATTCCTTTGTAAGACTTTGATCGCCCATTTTGGCCCAACCCTCGCCCAGGGGGTCATTATTTGAAGGTACCTGAATCTACACTACCTGAGAATACTTCCAGATAAACCTCACTAATCACAGGGCTACTGTTGTTCTCAGTGGTAGATCCAGAAATTTCAGAACAGAGGGGTGGGGTGAGGGGTACAGATTTTTTTTTTTGGAAAGGCAGAAAAAAAAGCCATTTGTGTGTAAAGGTGTGTTACTGTATATTTATGTTAAGTAAATAATTTATGAAATTTTACATATGGACTAAATTGACAGTATATACAAGTTAACCAACAGACTTTACAAAAAGTAAATCCAGTGGAGGGGGGGGGGGGGTGTCAGCGCTACCCCTGTGCTAGATCCGATTTTAGTTCTTGAGAAGATTTTTAAAGATTTTCAGTATATATTCCTGTGTAAACTTTATCACATATTGTGGGCCCACCCTACCCCTGGGGGGTCATGCTTTGAACAAAATTGATTTTGTTTTATTGTTTGTTTGTTGTATAATCGTCCCTTTTGAGAATTTTTCAACCATTTGGAGACGCCACCTCTTGCTTGCTGTAAATTGAGACCTATGGTAGAGTGTGTAGTCGCAGAGTAAGTCGTTAATCCTTACGTCGCGGGTTCGAATCTAACTGTAGGACATGGAGACGGGTCTTTCGGATGAGACGGTACAAACCGAGGTCCCGTGTCGCAGTAGATGCTGGCACAAAAAGGTCCCTCACTGCTCAATGGTCTTGAGTGCCGAGTATAGGACAAAATTTGCAGCTCTCCATCGGCAAGTGGTGGCGTCTCGATATGAGTGAAAAATTCTCGAGAGGGACGTTAAACAACAGACAAACAAACAAACACTTATTCTTGGCTACTTCCCTTAAGAGAGTGCATGACCCTTCATTTAAACAAAAAAAAAAATCCCCTTTATCCTTGAATGCTTTGTAGCAAGTTTGGTTGAAATTAGCTCAGTAGTTCTTGAGAAGAAACCGAAAATATGAAAAGTTTACAGACGGACGACAGACAGACGGAAAAATATGATCAGAAAAGTTCACTTGAGCTTCCAGCTTAGATGAGCTAAGAAAATCAAGCCTAACTCCAATTATATCAGCACAAGTATAAGAATAAGCAAAAAATAATTTCAAGATAATCATTACTACTGAACAAAAAATAAACAATCAAACTCCAAGATTAATACATATGACAAATAAAGAATAGGCTGATTTATCAGATATCTCAAGAATTACGTTGTCATACAACAGGGATCTACACCAATCCTGGAAACAATTTTCTGACCAAAACCTCTTCATCCTACAGTATTGCGAGTAAATGCTTGTTTACTTATTTATCTGCCATACATACTTTGTCTACCTTTTGTGTCTCTCTCTTTCTATCATTCTTTCTCTCTCTCTCTCTCTTTCTCTCTTTCTCTTTCTCTCTCTACGACGACTTTAGTCATTTTTTTAACTCATTATCTCGGCGACAAAATGTGCAAATGTTCGTAGTACATATTGTTGCCGACGACAAAATGTGCCGATGAGTGACTGTACGTCCATTATACAGGAGGGGGAAAGGCTCGTCTCGGTACATATTGTCGATTGCTACAATATGTACCGATTGTTTACAATATGTGCAGTGAGGGTAGGTACATATTGTCACCGCCGACTATATGTGCAGAACGACAGAATGCACCATCACAGACGTGCCATATTCGGAACCAGCTTTTCTACTGACAGATAACTTGATGTTACAGGGATTTCAACATGTTCTTTAAAATCAGCATTTCTTCAATTCTATGGTCGTTAATTACAATGACCTCGATAAGAAATATAACCTATCATTGGTTCGTATTTGGCGATCATTATTTCGTCCGAACGTGATCGATCTCAAAATATCTAAAAACAAGACAAATCTGTAAACAGAGGATAAAACACCTGCCTCCGAAAATTTCAGAGCTGGTATCAGGTGTTTAGGAGGAGTAGGCATCCCCTCTTGACCGGTTCCATCCACAGTGAGCCCTTTGTATTAATCAGGTAGACGGAACATTCCGTAGTCTAATTTAATATAAATACAAAGGACTAACAATTGAAACAAGTTCGCCAAATACGAACCAATGATAGGTTATATTTCTTATCGAGGTCATTGTAATTAATGACCATAGAATTTACGAAATGCTGATTTTAAAGGACATGTTGAAATCCCTGTAACATCAAGTTATCTGTCAGTAGTCGCCTCGGATTGAAAAATGATCATACTCAGAGCATGCTCTTAAGTGTCGAATAAGTCGGGAGATGTACATACCATATGTAATGATAGAGGAATATTACTACATAAATAAGGGAAGTTGACGATGTAAAAGCGTTCTCATCTCCTTTGTTATACAGTTTAGTTGTTAGTTGACCTATGTGATATTTTATTTAGATACAATTTAGTTGTTAGTTGATCCTTAAAACTGATGGTCATCTAGCTTCTTTGCTTTTATTATAGTGATAAGGGGGTCCGGGTTCGATCCTCGTTCAATGCTCCGCCTCAAACCTAAGCTATAAACATAAGTAGTGCTGTTCCTTCGCCAAGCTTCCGGCACTAAAAGTGAAAGTATCGGGTCTTTCGGATGAGGCCTTAAAATGCATGCATTGGCATGGTAAATAAAAAAAAATGCTCAGTGACACTGTGTGCCGATTAAAGGTATAAATAGGAAGCACTTCAGAAGTATATGGTGATGTCTCTATATGGGTGAAAAATTCTCGAATGGGACGTAAAACCATTATGGTAGAATGATTTGTCAGAAAATGTAAATCAACGATAAAGTAAAGGCAAGGATACGTTTCCTCTGCATTGTTTGTTTTATAAGGTACTTTCATAAACACTTCTACGTAAGTAGACAAAAAATATGTGCCCGCTTGAAGTAATAAATTCATTTTGCCTTCATAATCAGATTTTTTATATCTTGATGAAAATTTTTTATAATATCCATATTTCTTATCTAAAATCTATCAAACGTGGAAAGAATAATGTCAAAATGAAATTCGAAATATTACATCTATAATTTCAAAAAATATTCATATATCCTCTGGATTAACCAGGACTTACGTACACGTACGTAGGAGTTACAGGGTTCTAACACCTGATCTCGAGACTACGCCGGGTACCCTCGCCACATAAAAAAGTCGTTTAAAAGAAAAAAAAATAATATTTTTGAAATAATTCACGCTATTATATACTTTTGATGTTTGTTAAATGTATATACCAATTTTCACCAAAAAAGTTTATTAGAAAGGAAAAAAATTAGAATGTCTCAATAATTTTTGAACAGCTCTCGTACGTGCATATTGCCAAACTGAAAACTGTTTTTGGAAAAATTAAAAAAATAAATAAATATATACTTAAAAAAGTTACTGAAAATACACGTTATCGATAAATGACAACTAGAAGTGAGCTCCCTTCATTTCTTCAAGCTAGAAAATGATCATCCTGAGACCAAAGCGTAGGTTGTCAAGTTACGAGGCATTGCAAAACTTATCTAACATGTCGTAGGCGATGTAAATTGATGGAACTAAGATTTCTCTATATTTGTGGATGGATATAGTATATTGAATTAAAATAGAGGGTTAATTTTTAGATGAAACATAAAAATATTTTCATGTCACCTTTTTACAGGCAATTTCATGTCTGTTAAAGTCCACCGCGTTGATGCTAAGACGTAATCAGGATTTCATTTGCCCTCTGCATGATAGACACTCTAGGATACATTTTGTATTCTGCCTAATTTAAAATCGCTTTTTGTGATATTTTCTCAATAAAATGTATAAAATTATATCACAATTTTTTGTCACAAAATACATATTAAGATACATTTTGATAACATTCGATCACTAGCGATATGACTAGAGGTTGTTCAAGTACGAGGGTGTCCGACGTATGGTGAACTCAGTCTATTCAGTCAAAATTGTTACTTTGAATTTATTGTTTATAAGGAATTCCATCTGAAGAAAAGTAAAATCCTTAAATATCATTATACTGTTTCTGATTTGGCAGAGCATAACATAACACAACATTTAATAACCAGAGATGAATACAAATTTACATTTTGTATCCTTCTATACATCAAAAAAAGTTTATGAGAACATAAAATAACCGGATATCATTGTCTGGTCTCCATCAGCTGTTGAATCCTGTCCGACAGTGACGATATCGTTTTTGTCCAGGCGCAAAATGGCGAGATTGGAGCCACTATCATAGCCTGCGCTTCGTCCATCAGAGACCGTTTGTCCTACAGTTCCACCATTAACTTGCAGCCAGGATTTAAGGTGTCTACTATCAGCTTCCAAATTCCAGAAGAATATGTAGACGCCATCTTTGTTTGCTTGAAATCTAGTGTGGTAGAACAAACCGGATGTGTCCAGATACTCTGTACTAAAGTAGAGCGGAGAAGATGATGTGGAGGAGGGGGCCATTGCCATAAAGGCTGATGGAGAACTCTCCAAAAAAGATTATTAATGATTTACTAAAATTAGTCATCATTACCTAGACTGATTTTCTACCAGAACTGCTTGACACTGGCTGATTTAGAGTAGCATTAATAGTCATAAGAGCAGAGACTGAATTTTGATTAAGATGTGTGCTTGATATTATATGAATATGAACTAAAGACT